GTATACTTGTTTGCTGCGGTCCGGGAACGAAAATAACGTTTTCGAGCTTTACACAGATTACGCAATTGCGGCTTCCACCAAGGTGGAGACGGTGGCATCAATGGTGGGTTGGTCAAGTATTTGTACCCAATCCAAGGCGGCAATCCTCGTGTTAACAACATCGAAATCACTATGTGCAAAATTATACTCACTGCGGGCTGCTGGATACGGGAGCGGATGATTTCTCGAACGGGAGTCAACTTTTAGAACCAACGGCTTGTGGTGACAATCAACTTTCATAATTGCAGAGGGTGGTTCAAACAGCTCGATGCAATCGGAGTCACTGACGAGAACCAGGTCAAGAAGCTTACCATTCGTGTTCACCAGATCGTTGATTTGCTTCAATCCAGCAGACAGTATGGACTCCACTAAAGGGTGATACGGTCAAAATTTGGTCAATATCAACTTGACGTATTTCTTTCAATTTTGCATTTAAAAAACCTGAACACCCCTCATTTTGAAGGTGTGTGTGTGTGTAGAATGTTGCTCCTATTTTGATTTTGGAATTCACTCTTCAGTTGTCAAAATGCCGTCCAAGCAAGAAGAGCAGCGTATCAAAATTTTGCTCGCGCATCGCGAAAATCCGAGCTACTCGCACGCAAAGTTGGCAAAATCGCTAAAAGTTGCCAAATCAACCGTTACAAATGTGATTAAAGTGTTTGGGGAACGTTTGTCGACAGCCAGGAAGTCTGGACCTGGGGAAATCGAAAACCGGAAGCCGCTGAGATGACAAAGAGAGTTGCCGGTAGTTTCAAGCGAAACCCTAACCTCTCTCTCCGAGATGCCGCAAATAAGCTGGGTGTATCGTCTACAACCGTGCATCGAGCCAAAAAACGAGCCGGACTATCGACTTACAAGAAGGTAGTGACTCCAAATCGCGATGATAAACAAAATACGACGGCCAAAGCGCGATCCCGGAGGCTGTACATGACGATGCTGACGAAGTTTGACTGCGTGGTAATGGACGACGAAACCTACGTCAAAGCCGACTACAAGCGGCTTCCGGGACAGGAGTTTTATACGGCAAAAGGAAGGGGAAAGGTAGCAGATGTTTTCAAGCACATGAAACTGTCAAAGTTCGCAAAGAAATATCTGGTTTGGCAAGCCATCTGTACCTGTGGCTTGAAAAGCAGCATTTTCATAGCTTCCGGGACTGTCAACCAAGAAATTTACGTGAAAGAGTGTTTGAATAAACGTCTGCTGCCTTTCCTGAAGAAACACGGTTGTTCCGTACTGTTTTGGCCGGATTTGGCATCTTGCCATTACGGTAAAAAGGCCATGGAGTGGTACGCCGCCAACAACGTGCAGGTGGTTCCCAAGGACAAGAACCCTCCCAACACGCCAGAGCTCCGCCCAATTGAGAAATACTGAGCTATTGTCAAGCGGAACCTAAAGAAGACCAAAAAACTGCTAAGGGCGAGCAGCAGTTCAAGGCAAACTGGCTTTCTGCGGCGAAGAAGGTGGACAAGGTGGCTGTACAAAATCTGATGGCAGGGGTCAAGCGTAAGGCCCGGCAATTCGGATTTAGAAAAGCGGAAGCCTAACTGAATATTTTTCCTGAATTTTATATTAATTGAACTTGAAAAAAGAAATTTAATTTGATTTTTTAAATAAACGATTTCACCGATTTACACGCGTTTTCCCTTGACCAAATTTTGACCGTATCACCCTTTACAGCGAGTTCCTGTTCTGATGAAGCATTGAGAGGCAGAAATTCTCTGACGTCCTCATCGAAGTCCCAAGCTAGATTTGGCAGATTGTAATCGCCCCAACTATGGTTGTATCGTGAGGGTTCGCCATACCAAGGAGCTGTTGTACGGACTCAGCGTGTTTGGTGTAAATGTCGGGCTGACTGTTTGGTCGAATATAGATGCAGCACAGGAAGATCGATTGATGTTGTAAATCGCACAGCCTTACACTACAGCTCGGATTTCACGGCAATTAAGACGCCACCGCCACGTCGCAGTGCGCTGGTGCGAGAATTTCGGTCACAGCGGTAGATTGTGTAGTTGCATGCGAGTTCAGCATTCGTAATGTCGGTATGAAGCCAGGTTTCAGTGAATACCACCATGTCGAAATCACAAGAAAGCAGCGAATAGAGTAGAGTGTTAGTTTTAGTCCTCAAGCCTCAGACGTTTTGATAATATACGGTCTAATCTGTGCGAATGTTGGCAGGGTCACAAGACTCTAGGTTAGGCGAGGTGCTTGGTTCAGCTGACTCTAGGCGTTGCTCATAGGACCAGAATCTATGTGCAGTACAGGTTTCCAAAAATTCTGCGTTCTCCTTTCATCTTCAACGAACTCCCGAAATTCGATACCTTTTGGCCAAGACGAAGGATCCATCGCTTTTGTCTTCATTTCGAGATTGACTCCAACCTTGAATGAAACGAAGGACAGTGCTGGCAATGATGGCACATCGGTTTTAACTTAGGATAATATATAGAAAAAAAATCGATTAAATTGGAAAAAATAAGTCAATTTTGACAAGACAAATGCAGTTTTATTGAACAAATCGAATGAAGTACACTATGGAACCTCCTCTTCATCAACTTCCTGAACATCCAGATTGCCTTTGAAATGGCATTCGTTGCCGGATTGCTTTTTTCTTCCTCGCTTGGTAGGCACTAAGTTCTTCAAAATCGTCTCATAGTACGCCTTGTTGTTTATGTACGGTTGAAGGTTCTTTAAATCCTCTAGTTTTGCTTGTAGAAGAGGCAACATTGTCGTAGTGATTGGAGTGAGGTGCTTACCATTTGATTGAACATTTTCATCAGGTGCATCTTCATTGAATCCAATTATGGATTCGTTGCGGTATGGTTCAAAATATTCGTAGATAGAGAAGTCATTTATCATGGTAGCATCTCCAACTTACTATTCTGATTCAGAGCTATCAGAAGAAACAGAGTCACAATTTGAATTATTCGCCTGTCCTGTGCTTTGCTTGATGCATATGATTTCACTGCGAGTTAGATTAACCCTAGGAGGACCACTTCCATGAGCTTCGCCGACCAGGCCACTTTCTGTAGCATCAGAAGTGACTGAGATTGCAGGAGTTCTCGTTTAATTTTTAATGACATCGACTCGTTTTTCCACATTAAACGAGGGTTGGACTAATTGTCTATAAGAGATGTTCAGAGGATCGCATCGACTGCCGAACTGATCCACATTGCACGATTTTGCAACTGCCTCTGTGTTCTCGGGGTCGAATTTGTTGTTCTGTACCACAAGGTCTGGTAAATTTATTTTTAAATTTATAAGGCAGCCACGAGGTGGCCTGATAGCGCTTTCAATTGCTTTTGTAACCACAAGATCCAACGGTTCAGAGGACACATCCAAGTCACCGTCTCTCAACGAAAAATTTAAAGGTGACTCATTGTTGGTCATGGTACGAGATAAATCCAGAGCCACTGACCATTGTGGATCCGGAAAAGTTTTCATTGGCGTTGAAGAACGAATGTTGGCAAAGGAAACGTTGAAGCTTTGAGATGAGAAACTGCGATGGGATACCTCTTCGTATCGCGCAACTGACATATTTGCAGCGTCAGGCGTCTCCAAGTGCTCCTCATGTTCTTCCTCATCTAGTTCTTTAGCTGCAGCTTGAAAATAAATTGAAGAATGTCAATAGTTAAGCACATGATACATTACTGACTATACTTACCTAGAATTAATTCGATTCCTCGGGTGAACTCTATTGTCAAATATCACCAAAGTTTTGACTACAAACGTTCAATTTAAATTCGAAGAATCGAGATTCGAATGCCTGTTTCAATGGCAACAGTGTCAAACAGATAAAAAAACAGGTTAATTTTACATTTAAAAAGGCCCTAGAAAAATAAATAAATCCGTTTCCTCATAAGGCCTTTTTCTACCAAGGCCTTATCATGATATATGAATATGGTTTTTTCAATCTAATTATTTTCATACGTGATTTTAATTTTGTAGCAAAAGCTATTCATGGTCCATCGAATAAAGCTATAAAACCGATTTGTTTACATTTCGATCTTAGGTCCTTTTCAATTGTTGTTCTCGAATTTACACCACCTTTATAGTGAAACCGAACAATACAACACAACTCCTGACTACCCGTGAATAAACAATAACGAAAAACCCAACCACGACAGCAGAGACCTGTAATTATTGTTGTTCTTGGATCACTTCGTTGCCATGGCGCCCGGGAGGTATTTGTTATTGCCGTCGTCCCTATTCAAATATGGTAGACCTGGTGCCGATGGTGTGATTCAACACCCATTTATCGAGAACACAAAGGAAAATTCAAAAAAGACTTCGATAATTAAAACGACGAACCCCCATATCTACTGCGAAAAAATATTGCATTAAAGCTATTGAGCTGCATAAATCTTTGCAAAAATTCTATTGGCTGCATATTATTAACTATATTTATTTTAATTCTATTTAACCATTTAACGTTTTGCACAACATTTTGCTACAATTTTCTATCCTAACTTCATAATAAAATCTCATATAGCACACTTTTTCAAGTCATTACAACCACCAACAAAAGGGAATTTGAAGTTTGTTTGACAGCACTATAGACATACAAATCGCTCCCAACACCATTTGTTAGTGGTTAATATTTTTTCACTTTCACCTCTCACCTTTTCCTCCCTGTATCAGTTAAGTGTGCAGTGCATTCACATTTTAGAATAACCGGTCGCTTACTAACGAAACTCGCTTCCTTCTAGGTCCCTATCGATTTAACGAATACTAACCTCCAATAGAATTGCGAAAAAAAAAGGCATTTCCTCCAATAAGTGCCCTCATCTCTAATGTAGAATTGTTCACACTCACCGATCATTTATTTTCTTAACGTATCTATATATTTCTTATACCCCTCAAAACCCACCCACACCCACCCGCTCCCCACGTTTGCTTTCCCCGTTTCGAATGTTTCATCCCACCAACCCTTCTCTTTCCCTCTCTATCTCTGGCACCTGCTGTAGCGTCGGAAGCGCCGATTTTTCCCTCCTTCAAACGTACTCCCTAGCTCTGAGCTCGTCCGGCGAATCGAAATGTTGTAGTTCGACATCCGATAGCAAAGATACGACGACCCACACTCCCCCTGCATGGCAAACCGATTGTTCCCGGTAAGTGTGCTCCTTTGGACCCGAGTTCCGTTTCGAACAGCGCCCTCCCCGTCCGTGCTTTAGAGCGTTGGAGCTTCGTTCGAGTTTACCTGTATCTGTTCTGTATGTACATTAGGATTGTTCGTTCATTACAGCTTCGTTCGTTTGTATGTTTGTTCGTTTGTTCCTGAAAGGTTAGAATGGAGAAAGAAATGCTTGAGCGAAGCAGCGAGAAGGAGCTTACAAGTAGTCGCTTTTCCTCTAGTTTTAGCTATAATCTTTGCGTGCTTTTAGTTTTAGTACTTTTCCTTCCAGAGCTATCCTCTCGCGTGTTGCAGTAAGAAGAAGGTTTACCTACCATCCGAAACGAAGAGGTTCGATGCTTGTTGGGTGGGTTTTTATATCTGTACATAAAGGGGATTTTTTAAGACCCAGTAGCTAATTAGCCTTTTTTCCTGGAGATGAAGGAATTTTCTAATTAATTTCTACATAAATCGAATAGCAATCATATTATTTATAAGTGATGATAGTAGCAATTATAAGAAGAAGCCTGTGTTCCGCGGTGCGCTTGAAAGAAAAAAGGTCGAATGAAATTCAAAAGGACAACAGGTTGAAGGACAGAACGACGAATGGAATGTTCAAAATCTTTTATCTGTCAATGAACTGATCGTGTTATAAAGTCATCTTGAGAAAATTGAGAAATAATTGTCCAGTTGGAGCAGGAATAGATTACTCAAAGTCTACGTTTGATCTACTTGCATTTACTCAGCATGTTGCTTTTTCTTTCCTATGGTTAACAAAAAGTTATTCGACCTTTTGTCCATTCGACCTTTTACTCATTCGATCTTTGGTTGAGTCAACCATGTATCCTTTTAAATGTAATTCTAACTCTTCTTCATTCGACCTATTGTGCCCCTAAATTCATCTTTTTATCCACAGAGTAACCGTACGTCATCTGAAAAAAATTGACAGATACCCGTTAGAACATGATAATTGGCAATGCACCCATGTACTGAATGGGAATTGTGGGTTCGAATCCCACCGGTGCCCTTACATTTTTTTGCAAATTTTCTCACACACACGCGTCTCTTACCGATGATATGTGCTTACCTCTCAGTATGTTTAAACTTTCTTACAAACAGTTGAAGGCAACTTTGGTTTCACTACTTTGATGAAGCTTTCAAGCATCCCTCGCAATGTTTTTAGGTACATTAGCTGCCATTTTTTAACCAAGGGCGCTAATGTTGTCTGAAAGTCATGTCTCTGAGAAAACGGAAAAGTAGATCATATTGTCAATACAATATATTGTGCGGTTAAAAAGATTAATTCGAATGAGGTTGATTCGACCGCCGAGTTCGACCTTACTGGACTGCACTGAAAAAAAAATTATTTATGATTTGTATTTAAAATTATAAATTCTAAATAAATTATAACTATAATTTTGAGTGATAAATTGTACGTATGAACTTATATATTAAATTTTATACTTTAAAAAGTTAAGCATTAAATCAATTTCCATTTAGCATGTGTTGAACGTTTAATATGAAACATTTTAAATTGAATTTTCAGTATGAAAATTTAACATTACCGATAAAATATTAAACGTTTCGTAGTTATTGAACATATTCAATTTAATATTTTGCATTTATCATGTAGCATTTTACATTCAAAATTTAACCTAAAATATTTTTTTAAAAAAGGCACATTTTACATCCATCATATAACGTTGGACATATGACATTTTCACTTAAAATTTAAAATTTATTATTCAAAATTCAACATTCAACAAGAAAATTTTTAAATTCAACATAAAAAGTTAAAATTATAAAGTTTAAAAATTTAAATTTCAAATGTAAAATTTACAATTGATCTTCAACATTTCAAAATTAAAATTATGCACTTAAAAATAAAAATTCAAAATTTAGGCATTTCAAATTAAACTTTATAACACTTAAAACATTAACGTTTTTTAATTTGAAATTTAAAATTTTATCTTTTTAATTTTAACATTTAAATTCAATATTTAACAATCTACATTTAACATTATTTCAAGGGGTTAGTCACTCTACACAGTGTGCCAAAATCAAACTTGGGCACACCCGGGCGTCGTCATTGACGCTTTTTGGCACCCATGGTTACAATTTTTATGATCTTTAAAGTTACTGGCAACACTGACCTTTTTTGAGCTTACGCAGTGTGCATGTGTCAAAATTTGTTATTGATGTTGCCATAATATAATCAAATTATTTTTAAAGCAACCGTGAATCTCCACCAAGTCTCGTCATGGATTCTCAAAATCGTTACACCCGTGACGGCAGTCGCATCCACATTTCCTCCCAGACGAAGAACAGCTGACAGCGATATCTTGACCTGACCGAGGTTTCCGGCCATGGCTACACGAACTAGCGATGCAGCTCCCACGGCTGCGGCTGCTTGCAATGCTGCTGCTGGTCCGTCTTTTTTTTATGAATTTTAGAGGAGACGGACCAGCAGAAGCAGCAGCAGCATTGGAAGCAGCCGCAGCCGTGGGAGCTGCATCGCTAATTCGTGTAGCCGTGGCCGACGCTGGAAATCTCGAGTCGGTCACGACAAGCAGTGCTTGAGTGTTAATCGGAAAGTCAACAACCAAACAAAAACCATACCATTCGAACTGCTCGAATACATCCATGGCGGTTACTGCTACACCAACCGTTTCATCGTCCAACATATAATGTTGGAGGACCATCTTGGAAAAACCGGCACCGGTCATCTTCTTGGAGGAGGAAAAGCACAGCTTCATAATAAACGGAAATTTTGTCCATTTGTGATCGATCGCGCTGTGGTTGTACTTCATGATGGCGTTCACCACCAGGGCTACGCTCGGGTACTCGACCAATCCGGAGGAGGAACTTTCCGATTTCAGCGGGAACATTCGCACTTGCGACGGGTGGCAGTCCTTGGTGGTGAATGCAATCAGCAGCAGATCCTCGGACGGCATACGGGTGGGGTATTGAATAAGTGGAGAATGCGATTTTTGCTGGCCTGGGAAGTGATTGTCCGGCAGGGTGTACGTTCGTCTGCGATGGCGTCTCCCATCTAGACGCCAGTCTTCAGAAACTTTATTCTGACATTTCCATACAGGCAGAACAATTTGGCTGTGTTGTTATCGAGTCCGTAGACCATCATCACTGCGCCCTGTTGCTGTGCAGGTTGAATGAAGTTGGCTGGTCCGTTTCGGGTCAGCGGTGCGTCCTTCATCAGTCCGACGTGTATTCCGGCCGGTGTTGGTTTCCAGTTTTCCGACTAATGATGCTTGGGCGGTTTCCTCCGCCGGCTCCCAAAAGGGCTGGTTGATTAATGATTAGGTACAATATGCTCGTTGTGAGGGGTCGGCCTTCCGCCGAAGATGCATGTTTTTGAAAACATTGAAAATCAAAACAAAAACAAGAGCTGTTCAAATACCGGGTTGCCAAGCAAGGCATTATTCACAAGCAAACAAAAGTCAGTTCAATGACTTCTTGGCACTGCCGATACAGTTGCGGCACACTTAGGCTGCGTTCCATTTGGTGAATTTTCACTTAAATTTGACAGATGGAAAATTTTCAAATAAACCTGCTATTGTACCAGACTTATTTCTGACAGACCAGGAATCAATTTTGACAAACACCTTCTCGAAAATAGGAAGATCAACAACAGAGGGATTTTCGAACATCTTAATTTATTTTCGAAGTGTCAAATTTAAGTGAAAATTCGCCAAATGGAACACAGCCTTAGGCTCTGAACCATTTGGTGGATTATTTTAACTTTTGGTTAAAATTTGACAGATGAAAAGTTATCGATTAACCCTGCTATCCGAGCGTGGTTACTTCTGACAGACAAGAAGTTAAATTTTGACGACCGTGGCTCGAAAACCGGTCGATCGACAGCACGGGGATTTTCGAACATAAGAAATAACTTTCGAAATGTCACTTTTAACCACGAGTTAAATTTAACTCGGCAAATGGTTCACAGCCTTAGAAAAATGTTGGCGCAAAATAAGTGTGTAGAGTGACCACCCCTTGCATTATTTATAGTTTAAGTTCGATTTTTCTTAGAGATTTGTTACTAATGATTTAATACTAATACAGTAGTTTGACAGCTGCGATTCTTACTTTTCTTTTTCCTTTTTTCTCCGCCAAATGAGAAGTTTTGTGTGTTCCAGCAATATCATTTGGTAATATTTTCATATAGATTACTGATTTCAAAGTACTTGAAAAAAGGTTAATATTGCCCCGCTAACGTGTATTACACATAGTTCCCCTGCCCACTAGAATGGGTATCCGGAATATCAGTATACACTGAAAAAAGTTTCCACATATTTCCCAACACCAAGGGGTAGGTTATTCCGCACACCAATCTTGGGTAATCTTTTTTGTTAGTGTACCGCAAGTGTGCCGCAGGTTTGCCGATTGTGCCGGTCATAAAGCAAGCTGCGATTGTTTGTAAAATACCCATTCCGGCAACCCGGTATTTCTGAATGTTTTGGTTTGAAATCGCAAGGATAAATCGGATCGATGATGACGCGGGAAGTGGCAATGTGTGAAATTATGGTGTTTTGTGTTCATAGGATAATAAAAGTCCTGTGTCTTAGGGTTTTATAATGCCCTCAAAGCCAGATCAGATACCTAGCGTTTCGTGGTTTTAAAGGCACTGATCTATCAGCGGCCGGAAAAAGTTGGAACCGGTGGGGAGCACTGTTGAGGACGGACTACAGAGGATGATGAATAGACTTCTTTAGTTTGTTTTATGTGATTTGCAGTTTTAAGGGTACTACAAGGGTTTGATTAACTGCCTCTTTCTCTTGAGCCCACTCTAGAACCTACATTTCGTATTTAGATCTATAAGTGAACTGCTGGTATGAGTTTCTCTGGTATATTTAATTAGAGGATGTTCCTGAAAATACAGTCAAACAGCACGTAATGTTTTGAACAACTTCAATGGCAGTTGTCCAGCAGTGCTCCCATTTTATTTACAACAATCCATTGCCTACGATATTGTGCCGA